CTTCTTTGCTGCTTCCACATTATTGATTCTAACAAATATCTTGCCAAGTTCAATATGTCCATCCAGATTGTTTGGCTGTAACGATGAGAGCTAAAAACACATTCACGTCAAAATTATAATACGACAGGTAAGTTACCTGGGCTTGAAATTTGCAAGGGCTTGAAAATATGTTACTTTGTGGTGACTCTGTTTTCTGGCAATTGAAAGCTTGTTTTGCCTTAATTGTTTCAGTGTTTGGTTACTGCTTACTAAGATATTATGTATTATCCAAATGTGGGATACTAAATTTTCTGGGCGAATATCGGATTCCAAGTTAATTACCAGTATCACATTGGATAATGCTGAAAATATCAAATTTCAAGCCCTGAGTTGCTTTATTAAATAAATTAGTGGCTTAGTGTAAATCTATTACCTCTTTTAGTTGCACAATGGCAGCAGCAATGCCTTCCTTCCCCAACCTACTGGATGATTTTGCCTTGCATAAACTTGAAAAAAAAAAAATAAAATAAAAAATACTTATTGTAGAGCAAACAGTCCTTTCAAAATTTTCTTCAATGTGCATCAGACAATGACACAAGGCTTCAAGAGCTCACCTTAAATTAGAGAAAACCAAATCTTGGTTATATAAACTTTCATCATTCTTTAAACTGTCTAAACCTAAAAATACAAGGTAACACATAAGACAACAAATACAGTATATACCAATCATGTACAGTATACCATGTTATGGTCATAATTGTCACACATACTGCACTTTCTATAAATTCAGTATACCATATGTAAATTGTTTTCTAGTAACCTTTTGTACAACTGTTGAAAACATCTTCATACTGGTGATGTAAAAGTTGAGTTTGTGACAAGAAATACCAGCCAAGTGATGAATTTGGGAGATGCTGAAGTCCTAAAACAGAACGTTGTGTCTTATTAAGAATGTAACTTTAATAAACCCACTCACTGGACTTGTTTTGGGAAATGCAAATAAATTGGCCTTATAATTACACAAGCTATTCACAAATTAATAGAATTGCTACCATTTTTTAAGTATTCTTCTGCTGGCGTAAAATCTTTCTCAAACAATTTCACTTTCCCCAATCCAAGATACGCCAGATATGATTCAGCATTCAGCGCTAACAGTTCTTCATAAATCAAGCACTCTTCATCATTAAGTTCTACAAGTTCAAAATACAAATCTTTCAGGGCTCCATAATCACAAGTGTTCATGGCACTTGTCTGATTATAATGTCACCTCTGTAGTCTGTAGCATGTGAGAGAAATGCTGTCAGTTTATTGTTGTCAAGCCTTGTGGCTTTAGGTGCAGTTTCGCTTGTAGTTACAGCTATCCAGTATAAATAAAGTTAGTTTGTAAATACCCAGAATTTGCTCAAGATACAACTTTGCCAATATATTCAAAGGGAATTCATCTTTTTCAAAAACATCTTTCATTCGTTTTGCCTCTGATAATATATCTTGTACAGAAAATGTTGCATCATCCAAAAGCAGGTTGATATAGTCTTGAAAATATTGTCTTGTTTCGTCACTCGCTTGAATGTTTCCATGCAGAACATGCCTATATGCATTCACCAACTAGAATGAGAGAGTAAGCTGTTGGCCAGTGTGAAAAGTTTAATCATGTGGCGGAGATATCGGCCGCGCAATTTTGATGCTTTCTATATATTTACTATCAAATTTTCTAAACCTCTGGCACGCAATTTCCAAACTTTGCAGTCAGGGCTGTTGAATTGGCAGGTTGGGACTATTTCAAAAATCTAAAATGGTTTATATTTAACAAATATAAAACATTTTCCGTGTTGAATACAGTTATATCAACACGAGTGGAGTTGGGAAAACGAGAAATTGTGTGGAAACACAACACCCGAAGGGTTTTTTCACACAATTTCGAGTTTTCCCAATTTCCACGAGTGTTGATATAACTATATATCAATACGGAAAAAATGTTTTATATTTGTTTTATAATATACAACAAAGAAATATAAGAAATAGAAGTTTCCGTGTTGACACTGAGTTATATCAACACGGCTCTTAGCCAATCAGCGTTCAGAATTTACAAATGCTTTTTTATAAAAAAATATAATTACATACCTCATTCTTTTGTATGGAAGTCAAACTGCCCTACAATTAGAAGAAAAATTCAGTAAAATGTTCAGTACATGTAATATACCTTATTTGATGACTGTTAATTGTTCCATTAAAATACCTGATTTTCCTGAAGAAGGGCAATAGATTTACACCACAAAAGGTACTGGTCTTTCTCACAATCTCCATCCTGAAGCAACTTTAGAAGATTCAATGCCTATTATATAGAATATCAACCCATTAACACTTCAAATTGTTTAAAAAATAGGGCACTTCATTGGTTAACCTTGCCAGAATAATCACATGATTCACTCGGGGAGGGGGGTTAATTCAAACAGTATGCAAAGTGTTTTTGATGGTCTACGTATGTGGTGATTATGTATGGTAAATTAAGAAATTTCTGATAGTTATTGTACATATAAATTACCTCTTCAATATTTTTTAGAGATTTGTGCACGTCAACCAACTTCAAAACAATCTCTGACCATTTCTTGTTGTCACTACTATGGAAAAGTTAATAGATCTTTAACCCATTGAGTAGTAGCACTCTCCCCCTGACAAGTAAAATCGTCTGGCGTTAGACAGAGTAAAATAATAAAGTAGAGTTCATTGCCACTTAAAGGGTTAATTATAGTTTAATCAATTGTTAAATTTAATTTATTTCTAGGTCTCAATCTACTTGGTCAGTGATTCTTCAAATTTATGCTCTTATCAAACATGGCGGTCTCATGACAGACAATACAACTGTTGTCTACTAGATGCAAATCACTGTACCTTTCATAATGCTTCATTAATCTCCCATAAACTTCAATAACATCTTCCTTCTTCCCAAACTCAGGTTCCTTCTCATGCAATGATGCTAAACCCTAGACACACTAATTTGTTACTATATGGGCAGGTAATAGAGCTTATACCATCACACCACGACAGTTAATTATGCACCTACCAATGTTAAGCAGTAATATACTATTGTTTGTGGAAACACTACGTAAATTTATTACTGCAAAGTTTTCGATCTGTAAGCCCTGATCTTCATCAGTGCTAATAATATGTATATGACATATTATTAGCACTGATGAAGATCCGGGCTTACGGTTCGAAAGCTTTGCAGTAATAAAGTTACGCAATGTTTCCACAGACAATAGTATTATATGTTTTGTCGCCACGAGAACTTATTTAAGCAGTGATGTTTTCCAAATTTTAGAAGTGGGGGGAACGCTCGTGAAAATTACATGGGTGTGGTCACTTAATAGGGCGTGGTCACTTAATAGGGCGTGGTCACTTACTTTGGCATAGCTACGGGTGTTGAAAGTTAAAAAAATAGTGGGAAGATGGCATTCCCCCTGGAAAGCATCACTGCTGTTAAACCCCAGGGGGGGGGGGCATTCTGGTCAGGCATATGTGGGGTATTCAAACAATTCTTCACTTTTGTCTCCCCACATCCAAAAATTTGAGGTGTATGCACAAAAACACAGTTTAGTATTGCAGCTGAACGTATGTTATGTAGCCCTTGCATGTAATTCCAGCATTATTTTCATGCAAAATAAAATTTGACAAAATTTGTAAACAAAGTTTTCCAGTGTTTCATACCTGCCATGCTAGGATATTTTCAGGATTAATATCAATAGCTTTCTTGTATGCAGCCTGAGCTTGCTCTGGTTTCCCCAGTTCAATAGAAGCAACACCAACAAAAACGAAAGCATTGTAATTCGTCTTGTCCAATTTCAAAACGGCCTAAAATAAACACAAAAACACTATGTATACGGCTTTCAAAAACCACAAAATAAAGCTCAAGCAACGGCCTATTTACGCTTCGTACCTTGCAATGTTTCAGAGCAGCGTGATAGTCTTTATTTTGAATTGATTCTCGCGCACTTTTTAATTCATTTTTTATTTCTTTGGAAGCCATATTGGAAATAGATAAAATATAGCTAACCCAAGATTTTCTTCTTTGATTCAAAATTTTCTTATTATTGACCCTTTCGGCAATAATGACGCCATCTTTGAACCGTAATGCATTATGGTATATCCAGAGTAACTGACCAAAATTACCAAGCGGAAAGTGCTCAGTTTTACCATACAGCCTCGTTTTCATGATTGGGATACTGGGTGTAGATCTTTTTGTCTTGTTGCAGGAAGTCATACAGTAACAATATTTACGAAGTCATACAGTTACATATGCGCATCGCTGTTTTTTTTTACAAAGAGACGCCTAGGTACGATGCAGATACAATTACATGCAATCATCGAAAATACTTTCGTATAATTACATCATCAGTAACAAGATCCAAATCCGAGATCTCAATAACGACAACGAGGCTCAAAACCTATAGCAAAGGCGAAGTATTTTCTGGAACGGAAAAGCCCTGGGAACGAAGATGCCGGTACACTCTTATGATGTAAACGAGTGGGTGCCTTTGTCCTTAATAGTGTTTTTTTAGTAATTAGCAGCAGTATACAATACTTTCACAATATCAGTGAGAGAATGTTGACATCACATATATCATGCTATAGGCTATGTATATAAAGATATTTTGATCTAAACATACGAAGGTTTTACTAACTATCGTAACAGCAGTTGTTGTAGTGAGAAAATCATGTTAGTTTTTTCACATGTAGTAATTTTGGATTTGGAGACAAATATAACTGAGAGTAGTTTAACTTTCTTGCCGTCCTATAACTATCAATGGTTCTGAAATACCATCTGTTGGCATAGTTTAATGTTTTTTATCGACTAAACCAGCAAACTCTGATTAATTCAAACTCAGGAATAAACTTCCAAACTCACATCGCCTAGGTACATGGCACATTAACGCAAGAACGCGTTAAATTTTTTTACTCTTTCAATCTTTCATGATTGCATGAGAAGGCCAATATCTCAAGAAGCGATTTCCTTTGACTAGCGCGTAAGTTTCATCTTTGAGATTCACGTCTTAACACTGATATGTGGAGTTTCACTGTTAGGCAGGGAAAATGATTAGACGAGAATGGCATTGGGTAAGTAGAAATTATATAAATAATAACAGAATGATGCTTCATATATATACTAGTTAGACTATTAAATATACATGTCCACGATTCAACACGTTTTGAAATAGTATATGTAGTTAATATGCCGGATAAATTAAACTGGATTCAGTTTAACGGAAACCCTTCACTCTTATAATTTCTAGACTGTATATTTTAGTGAGAGTTCATTGTTGTTATTGAACATATTTCAAACCGGCCAAAGATTGTAGCACCATATGAAAGTTAGAAAGTAAAGGAAAAAGGATATGAAAATTAATGACCCTATGCGGAATTTATAGAACTGCTTATAATTATGGTGTGTCGCGATTAGTTTCCGCATAAGAAATACTTTATGAAGTTTCTTTTAAATTTAATCTAATCATTCATTAGTACTCTGTTAGTTTTAATAATTTATTGAGAACTGGTGCTCTTTGGTTTAATTTTGTGCATATGAGTTATGAAATGAGATCACAATGGTATAAATCTTTTAGTTATGAAGTTTTTAGCTAATTTAAATTTTATGTCCGTGTGTGGCGTATTAAAGATTTTCTTTGACTTCTGGTCTTAATGACTAGACTCGAAGCGTACAATAATCACGGTGCAGTAAGCTTGGCCTCTGAAGCTTGGTATAAGGTCATACAGAGCTGCGTTATTGCACTTAAATGCTGAAAAACGCTACGCAATTGTGATCCGAGACTACTATAGGGCGTTCCTGGTGGTCACCATACGACCCGTGCTGATCACAGAAAACAGTTCAGGTGAAGGAATTAGTTTTGGTGAAAAAGGAAAACGGGAGAACGCGGAGAGAAACGTTTTAAGCACAAGAAAGAACGAACTAAGACCCTGACCTTTGAATGAAACAGAAGAGTGGCAAATCGCTTCCATGGTTTCATAAGTATGATAGAAAGTGGGCTATTGCTCTTATGTTACCATGTTTGCTTGGCGATAAAGTGATTAAAATGCGGGAAACTTTCTTTGTAAGAAAAGGAATTCCTGAAAGAAGTGTTATAGTTTGTCTGCATCCATCAGAATCTTCAATTAGCCTGAATAGCAGCCTTTTTTTGGGAGGGGGGAGGACTTGCGGGTGGGAAAATAAAGGCGGTCGCAGAAAATCGCCAGCCGTATACGCACGCTTCTGATCCGAACTGGAAATATTCTTCAGTTGCGAATTTTTCAACTAAGCTGCGCTATAAGAGCGATCGCGCCTCTCAAAATTGAAGGTCTGCAACAATACCTCCAATCACGTTTCAAGCACTACCCTAAAGTAGCCTTGAAGTAGTACCTTTGGGGGCACCTTTCGAGCTGGTGGCACGGAGCAAAGTGCCCCCCGCCCTGTTCCCACACGCACAAGCACACGTAGCAACACCCTAGAGTAGCAAGTTTAACTCAGTTTTAAAGAACAATGCCAGCCATGCTTCCTAAAATGAAGCTATTATGCGCAGTCATCTCAAACTTTGTTTCATTTTTTATTAGACGTCTACACCGTTCTCGTGTGCGTTTTGGCCTTGATATTTTCCTTCGCGTTATCACTCGTGATAATATTAGTAATACAACTACGTAGACGATATTTCAAGCAACGAAAATTGGCCTCAAAGAAAGATAAACCGTTCACCCCACAGGAAAGAGAGAGCCTGACGAAGCAACAGTCGAAACGGCTTGACAGCGTATTGGAAGAACTAGGAGAAGGCCCCGACAACGTGTTTGAAGAACAAGAACAACTCTCAAGTCTAAATGCTTCCCAGATTTCATTTTCTTTATACCACAACCCCAGCGAAGATATCCTAGTCTTAGATATCTGGTCTGTCTCAGACACCCCTACTGATTTTATAAAAGGCTATGTCGAAGCGCAGTTATTCCCCTCGGATTTCGAAGCCGGTCAATTTCGCACAAATGTTAGAGAGTGTCTTGATAATGCGGTTATTTTTAACGAAAGTTTTGGCATCCCAAATGTGAGCTCTGAAATGATCGGTAATGTTTACTTAAAATTGTTTCTGTACAAAACGTTTGGGGTTTATCAGCCTAAATGTGTTGGTCATACCGTGTTCGCGCTCAATGACGTCCCCTGGAATCCATTTGGGAAGACGCAATTTACGCACGAACTACGTCATGTAAGTAAAATCATAGAGATTATAAATAACACGTGTTATTTATAATCTCTATGAGTAAAATATAGTTTTATATCAACCTGCGACTAGGCTGAAAAAAGCCCGATGAAAGTTCAGGCTTACAGATCGATAATAAACTTTGCCAAATGTTCTAAAAGCAATCTTTTGCAAAACGTACGTCACTCACATTAAACAAGTTACGAGTGTTTTATGTATAAAAAACATACTATATTGTTTTTCCTAAAGTTTGAATAATGCCAACAAGCGTTTTTACTTGAAATATTGCTTGGTATTCGTTTTTCAAAAACAGAAAATAGTAATTAAAAATATTGGTCGCAAATATAGAGGATATTAGACGAAGAAATATGGATTTTTATATGTTCGAGTGGCAAAAACAATATCTTTGACACGAGAACATAAATCCATATGTTCTCGCAACCGTTTAATGTTCTGTTTATTATATGTATGGACTTTATACTCAGAGTGACAAAAATACACACAAAGACGACATGTAAATAAGCACGCGAAAGACCAGTATAAAAGCGATATTTTTTTAAATTATAGTGCAAACATAAAACTAGAATAAATTTTACTTATCTCAAGATGTCTTTTAAATGTTTTCGTTTTATTTCCAACGTTAATTTCGTAGTTTAAACACGAACCAAAGACCATTTGTATTTTCAAAACAACAATGAAAATGGCGGGAAATTTTCGAATTCGTAAAAATACGCGCACCTGGTCCCGGATGTAGTGACGTACGAGTTCTACGAGTGCTTTAGTTTCCAGGCCTTTCCAGTAAAACACCATTGTCCATATAATAAAAGTTAATAAAAGTTAATATGTTACAATATCATAAAAAACAGGTAAAGGTGGGGGTGCTATATGAACACCGCTTCCACATCACAGAGTCAAAACCTTTTTAACAGAAGCGTACAGAGTATAATAATTGTGCTTGGGGCCGCTAGACCTTACTTTTGCCGACAAAATGTGCGTGGTCAATGCTATGTTATCGAAACTGGTTATGATTAAGGCACGGGTTAAATTTGTGATTTTAGCACCAGGTAGGCGAGTCACCAACCACACCAGCAATCACCACAGATGAGGAGTCACCATGTTCTTCACCATCACCATCCCGAGCAGAGAAAGGAGAATTATACATTTCGTTGAGATATCAAAGCAAGTCAGGGAGAATTAACGTCGTTGTTTTGAAGGCTGAGAATATCGAGCGAGGAAATGTTTTACAAAGTGGTAAGAAATTTTGTCGATTGCCTAATTTTCCAACTTTTCATCCCTATATATATTTTAAAGGTAAAGATAGAAGATGCATGGCAGAGCGCTGAATTGCAAAGGACATAACTCAAACGTGATCATCATAACTCAAACGTGATCAGGCTTATTGGGGCGCCTCTGGCTATATTTCATATGTCTGATCACGGGGAATAGCTAAGGTGAAAAGATTAGGGTTTGGCGAGAAAGCAGAACAGAATACCCAGAGAAAAACCTTTCAAGCACAAAAGAGAACAAACTACAACTCCACTGAAATGAATAGACCGTGAAATTTTGATCTAGACAAGTCTGGACAAAAATTTCATCACAGCTTGAAAGAGCATCACAAAATTAGTAATATTCCAAAGTTTCGTTGCGAAATGTTGTAAAATGCGGATAATATATAGCCTTGCGAAGTTTGCCGTTTTTCAGTCATTTTGCATTACAATCTAACATTTTGCATCAGTTTGATCATCTGATTATCAATTTCCCATTTGTAATGCAAAATGACTGAAAAACGGCAAACTTCGCGAGGCTATATTATCCGCATTTTACAACATTTCGCAACGAAACTTTGGAATATTACTAATTTTGTGATGCTCTTTCAAGCTGTGATGAAATTTTTGTCCAGACATGTCTAGATCAAAATTTAACTTAAAAGGGGAAAGGTCTATTGCAACCATCTGTATTTTCCAGATCCGTATGTTAAAATCAAGCTGCTCTTGCTGGGTGAAGTTATAGACAAGAAGCAGACAAAATCACAAAGACGAAATTCGAACTCGTGTTGGAATGAACCGTTCGTATTCAACATCGATGAAGAGAAGGGTCTCAACAACTACGAGCTGATCTTTCTGGTGCGCAGGCGTGATATTCTCTCGCCTCATTCCACTGTCGGGGTCGTGCGTATTGGTGCCCAGGTCGGCGGCGCGGGGCAGTCACACTGGTATGCAATGATGGCCAAAGGAAATCTTATGAGACAAGTTGCACGACGTCACAAAATAAAATGAAACGGAACTTATGCCAAATGGAAGTTGATAACTTTACTTAACGTTGGATATTGACTTTAAAATAGCTTGTAGTAAAAATGTAAAAACAGACGGAAGAAAATTTATACTAAATTTGTGGTGATCTCTTTTTTCACTGTATTTTAATGTGACAATATTATTTTACTGTGATTGATGCCCTCGCCCAATTACGCGCTTCACATTGCGCTTCACTGCATATGCGCCTCAGTGATATGGCATTGCTAGATAGTATACTTCAAAATAAGATTTCCGTTTTTATATCAATTTTTAAAATAAGTTAGGGTTAGTTAGGGTTTAGGTTAGGGTTAGGTTGGGGTTAGGATTAG